CTTCAGGACAAAAACAAAAACAAAAAAACAAAAAAAACACAAAAATAGTTTCTGAGAAGCTTCCATTCAGCAAATGCTTGATGAGTGTGATGACTTTTCTCAGTGAGAAAAAATAAAGCATATACTGGGTATGTGTTTTTGAAGCAGTTGCTGAAATCACCCACTTACATACAGTGGTGCTAAGAGTCAGGCACTGTAGGTGTTTGGCAAACCTGTGTGTGTTCAAGTCACACCCTCTCCCTTCCGAGTCAACAAGACTGTGATCGCTATGTCTGAGGAGAAGCCCAGATATGTACCTTGTATCAGGTACTTGCTACTGATTCTGTGGCAATTAGTAGCCGTGTGTTTAGTATGTTGGTAAAACAATATTCAAATGAAAAACCCCTAGGTTACTTTGAGAGGCATATGCCATGGAGATTAAGAGTTTCGGTTCTGGAGCCAGAAGGCCTGGGATCGAATCTCAGGTCTGCCTCAGTTGCTCATAATCTTGGGTAGTTTGTTCACTTGTAAAATGGGATCTAGTAGTGCCCACCTCATGGGGCGGTTGTGACGGCTCAGTGCACTGTAACATGTAAAATCCTTTATTTGGACCTGGCTCAGAGTTACCGCTCAATAAGTTTTAAGTACTATTATTTGTTCCTGTCACTTCTATTTTGCTTCTCGTATGTTGTTGTTAATCTTAGAGAAAAGAACACTTTAGTGCACATCAGAATGTCCCATTCGGAGTTACCACTCGATAAGTTTTAAGTATAGTATTTGTTCATGTCACTTGTTTTACTTCCAGTGCGTTGTTGTTGTTCTTAGAGAAGCGAACACATCAGTGAACTTTGGAATGTCCCATTACACAATATAGAATAGGGGAGACAGCGTGAAAAGCATTGCGTGGACTCTAAAACCAGACTGGGCTCCATTTGAATTTCACACCCATCTCATGGAAGCTGTATTAACCTAACCCTCTGTTTCCTTATCTACAAAATGGGAATGTGAATACTTCTATAGGTTTGAGTTATGAAGTATAGGTAAAGCATGTAAAAGAGGAACATATAATGAGCACTTAATGGATGTTATCCATTTTTAGTTTTATTATATTTTGTATTCTGGGCATGTTTGTATAGGTTGTCTACAAATACCCAATTGCTTTTATAACCTACAGTTCTTTTAGACTATTTGATAGGGAAAGGACTAATTAAATATGGTTAGTATTAATTTGTATTAACTTGTTAATTACTAATTAATTAGCACAAGTTAGCTTAAAATACTGATAAGTTGTAGATATATAAATATATATGGCAAATACATATCACAGAGATAGATAAATTGGTTGATTGATTCAGTAATCCAGGTTTAGGAAGGAGAGAAGATGGGAACTTGGGAGGTTTTTCTGAGGAAAAGGGCTTTTCTTCCATGCTGATTTGTGACACTGATAAGAAATTAGCCAGGATATAATGGGTGGAAGTAAGAGGGGCAGGAGTAACCTTAAGAAAACCTCCTGTTGCTTCACTAGTGTTGGAATGGGTGTCTGGGTTGGGGTTGGGATTACTGGAAAGACCTAAGGAAGCCCAAGAAATAAACTGGAACCAGCCTGGGCCTAATGAACAAGCCCTAGTAAGGAGTTTCAATTTTATCCTGAGAGCAATAGGGAGCCACTAATGGTTACTTTTCTTTAGCAGGGGAGTGAGAAGATGAGACATGCATATTAGAGAAAGTATTGCACTGCCTTTGTGGAGAATGAACTGGAGGGGTCAGACGGTGGGCAGGAACCCAGGAAAGGAGGCCGCACAGACACCCAGTGCTGGTGGTCTGGACTAAGTGTTAGCAGTTCTCTGGGCTTGAGTCCTGCATGAAGGCAGATCTGATTCTGGTGGTGAAAAATTAATATTGCCCGAGCTTGATTCTCTAGTTTGTACACCTCTCTCTGAAGTAAGTGAGATCCTTATGGAAGTTGCATTAAATCTCCTGGGCCACTGAGTGCCATTAAATGCCTGCTCAGCACACTAAATGGAATGGAATCCAGCCTGCAGTCAGCCAGTAAATGAATATAACTTATGTTGAATCCCAGCTAATGTGCAGTCTTGGAAGTAGCATTAAGTCTGCAAAGTCACCTGGGTACCATTTGCAGTGCTGAACTGTGATTTACTTGGTCATACCTCAGTGGCCTGTATGTGCCAATACAGCTTCCACAGTCTTTTCTGCTTTGTTCCAGGGAATAACTTATGAAATGAAAACATCCATTTTTGAAATATATTTTCTATGTCTTATTCATTTTCTTGGTGGATAGGGATTATTGGGTTCTGTATTTATTGTTTGAAAATGTGTAGTATAAATGAAAGTAGCAAGTCATAACCTAAAAATGTATAGTTTAAATGAAACTACAAGTCATAACTCAAAGTAATTTTTCCTATCAAATATATAAAATACTTAAAGTTCTTTTAAAAGCATTGATAGTCACAGTTTTTACCCCAAAAATGTTTTACAAGGAATTTTTAAAATGCTCCTTATAAGTTTGTTTTATATATAGTATCAGTATTAATTGCTCCCTGATATGCTAATACAGAATGAGTGACTCATATGCCCATGAGGTCCAGTGTTTATAAAAACAAAACAAAGCTTATGTCATCCTGATAAGTCCTGTGAGGTCCAAGGATATGTCTTAGTCATCTTTTTATCCCCGTGTAACTATCACCATGGGCCCAGTATTTACCATGATTAAGAAGTATGAGATTGCCACATAAAATGAACATTAATATGGGAATCTCGTCTGTTGAGGCCCTGATGTTCATTGTGGGGTAAGTATTAGCAGTGTGAGGGCACTCTGCTTATCTGTGATGGGTGTTCTGGGAATTTTGAACAGTTGGTGTTCCTGAAAGATACAACTGAAAAAACCTCAAATATGAGTCTGTGTGTTAACTAAATTGAAAATGATCTTCAGAAATGTTTTTCCTTCTTAATGAAAATAACAAATCATCAGACTGGTTTTCAAAGTTCAGAGATGCTTGATTAAGTAAGTAGAAAAAGAATGTTAGATATGCAAAAAGATCGAGTCATGTTTATCTAGTTTGGGAAAGTGTAAAGACAGAAAGAATTTATGAGTCCAGTGGAGAATGCTGGAAATGTTTGCTGGGATAAACAATAACAGTTCTTAACATTCGTGGATACTGTAGATTGTTGATTGTGCTTTCCAAAATGTTACCTCATTTGATCTGTGTAAGAAATCCTACGAAGTAGAGCTTTTGCCAGTAAAGAAAGTATATCTTAGAGTGATTAGGTGATTTGTCCAAAGTTCAAACAGCTCCTAAGTGATCAACTGGAAACTCTGTTTTCTGACTCCTAAGCCATCACGTAAATGTTCAGCAGCAAGTAAATAATTGGCATATATTCGCTGCAGGCATCTGTAAATAGCCTGTGCCATCATTTGCCATAAAAATTTTGTTTTTTTAAATGGTTTTTCTATTAGCAGAAGCAACACAGGTTCTGAGTAGAATATTTAAGAATGTACATTGGCTTTATGAATATTATGTGATCAGTGATTATATCTCTCTATAGATAACATTTCTGAGATTTTCGTGTTTTTTAAAAATGTCTTATGCCTTTAGACACAGACTATATAGTATGGGGGTTGCCAGAGGGAAAGGGGTTGAGGGGGACAGTAAAGGGTAGGAGGTCAAATATATACGGTGATGAGAGATATGACTTTGGTTGGTGGGCACACCATTAGATATACTGATGATGTGTCAGAACTGTTCACTTGAAACCTATATGATTGTATTAACCAATGCCACCCCAGTAAACTTAATAAAAAAAAAATGAGTGGAAAGAAAAGAAAAAAATGTTTTCTGCTTTTAAAAATATTTCCAATGAGATCACCAAAAACATTTTTACTATTTTAGAATTTAGCAAAATAGTATGAATTTTTTCCCACATCATTGAATGCCATTATAATATCATTTAAACAACTTTATACAATAGTAACCTATTTTCTGATTGACACCTATGGAAAACTTTGGGATACCGTCTGTGTTGTTATTAGAAACAACACTGAAGAACGTCTTCACTAAATCTTTGTATAAATCCCTATTTTTTTTCTTAGAGTAAAGGCCTGGCAATAAAACTGCTGGGTTAAATGGTATACAGAATTTCTTAATAACTGACCAGATAGCCCAACAGAAAGGTTGTGCCTATTTAAATTCCCAATTTGCCATACATGAGTACCCTCTTTCATACACATGCCAGTCCCTGATCTTGTCTTTCCAAAAATCTTTACCAATACGGTCATCAAAATTAGTATACTGTTGCTTTGCGTGGTTTAATAAGAAGATCGTGAATAAAGTGAGGGACAGAACTCAGACGTGCTCTGAGGCTTGTGCCCTGCACAGTGCCTGCTGTTAATTGTTGATCACGGGTAGCTCTTCCACAAATAAAATGTTACCTGGACAGAGCATGTAATAATAAAGTATCGCTCATGTTCCTCTCTTATCTTTGTTTTACAAATACTTCAAGTGCTGCCCTTCCTTGTTCTGCAAAATGAAATAATCACCTTTTTCAGTGGGTCATTATGATGATAATTGCAAGCACTTTAGGTTCTTGGAAGCAGCAACATAGTTTGTGAGCTTATAACTTCAAAGACCATCTCATCTTGACCCATCATTTTACTAAGCACACATCAAGATGTGAAAAATCCTGTTGTGTTTTACTAATTGAAATGGAAAGCTCGGTGTCTAAATTTTTGCACAAATGTATAATTTCAAACATAGTTTATATGTGTCACCCTGTCATCACAAATGTACTCCTCTTTACTTTTTAATTCTTTGTAATGTGGTAAAACAAAAATTGTCAGCCATTTTAGGAAAATGACATTTTAGCCATGGCAGTGGATCCTGGTTTTGAAAAGAAACCACGCATATTTACAATGAACTCCAACTCTGCTTTATCTAAGTAATAATTTCCTGTAGACATTATTCCGCCCAGCTCAGTCAACCATATTTCTTTTCATTTTGTTTTAGGTAGCAGTTTTACAACATCGTCAGGATTATATACAGGAAATAATTCACTCACAAATTCCTCTGGATTTAACAGTTCACAGCAGGTAATTTAAAAAGCCAATTTAATTTCTGAAAATTTAAAACTGCAACAGATGATTTTCTTCTATGAAAAAGGGTCTGTTTATAGTACAGTATAATGTGAGAGAGCCTTCCTAAGCTTTTCAGTAGTTTTTTTCTTTTTTTTTTTTTTAAATCTCTTTAGTAGTCTTACATGGTGAGTAGTCTTACATGGTTTTCAGGTTGGTTTAATTTTACCTATTAATGCATCATGACATAGAAGAAATATGAAGAGTGTGTCTGATCTTATGTAAAATTTGTTTGCAAATCTGAACACTTCAGTCAAAGTGTGCTTGTGGGTTTCTATGTAATTCAGAGACGAATCTGTTTGCAGCTCTACTTTGAAATGTAGGAAATAAGCAGCCGTATTCTGACAGACAATTCTTGTATGATTTGATTGCATAGGACTACCCATCTTATCCCAGTTTCGGCCAGGGTCAGTACGCACAGTATTATAACAGCTCGCCATATCCAGCTCATTATATGACAAGCAGCAACACCAGCCCCAACACGCCTTCAACAAATGCCACCTACCAGCTTCAAGAGCCACCATCTGGCATCACCAGCCAAGCAGTGACAGATCCTGCGGCAGGTAATTATGCATTTTATGGGTTCTGCAGGCTGTATTTCTGGTGCTTTAAATGAATTTTTCTACAGTCATCTATTCATGCAGTGGTCACACAGTTTTGGCAAATTTTGGCAAGCCTACATATAAATCAAGCAGTGTGATCGTGGCCGTGACTTTATATTTATTTGTTTAAAAATTTTAGTATAAAGTATGTAAACTTCAAGAACACATGAAATAGATATTTTGTTTAATTATAAATATACATTTTTCAAGATATATATTGCTTTTTAGATGTAGACTTATATTTAGCTGTAATTAACTATAATTATAAATTTGCTAACATATTAAATATGAAAATAAGTAACATCACCTTGAATTTAATGTTTATTATCATTAAATATTTAATGTTTTCCCCAAAATATAAAATAGCATCAAAGGGTTAGTGACAGTGGAAAACCGTTACTCCCCTAGCCAGCCCTTTCCTCCTTGTGCCTGTTGTGAGTGTCGAACTGCAGGCCCAAGTGTGGGCGTTTTCCATCGCCCACACGCCCCTCTCCATTCCTGGAAGTTTTTCTACTATGGTTTTGATACTTCTTTATCCTTGTCTTAACATTTTTTAAATATAATCTCTTGTTTCATAGATAATAAGGTTAGTTACTATCCTCCAAGAGTCAAAGAGTTTTCTTCCTTTGCCTTTTTTTTAAGATTTTATTTATTTTTAGAGAGAGGGAAAAGGACAGAGAAAGAGAGGGAGAGAAACACCAATGTGTGGTCGCCTCTTGTGTATCCCCTACTGTGGAGCTGGCCTGCAACCCAGGGATGGGCCCTGACTGGGAATCAAACCAGCAACCCTTTGGTTCACAGGCTGGCTGTCAATCCACCGAGCCACACCAGCCAGTGCTGTCTTTTATTTCTAGACCAAAGCCCACTCTGTTGCTTCAAGTCAGGTTAGAATGGTCTTATACTGAAAGACTCACCTCTATATTTTGATCAGAATATTAATTCTAGGTGATTATCCTAATCATGAAAAAAAGTTTTAGATAACAGATGACTAATTTAAATTTGACTGTAAGTTTATTCTGTAAATATTAGCAGATGATTCCCTAAAAACATCTAAAGTTTTGTGTTCTACCTTTTCTCTTAAATGTATGCTAAGAATTTTATTCCAGAGCCAGAAGTTACATCATTCTTAAACAAGTTTAGGAATTCCAACTAATTGCCAATACTCACTTTTTCTGTACATTCCCAAGTCTAAACATTTTTATACTTGAACATCATATTCCATTTACCTTTTAAAAAAATCTAGCTTCATAGAATATTCTTCATGCCACATGTATAAGTACAGTATTCATGGAACCTAGTATACATGTCTCTTCTGTCTTTTAAGTAGATTCTACATTTGTATAATCTCACTGAAGATGAACTTTGTTATAGAAGATACTGAATTTATTGCAGAAAGTGTAGCATATTCTCCCCTGCTTTCATAAACTTCATGAGGAAAGATAATGCCTTCTGCCAACTTATAGGGACAGCTCACATTTTCACATGAACGCTCTGGGTCGCGCAAGATCTTGAGGGCTAAAAGGGATCTTGAAATCTTGAAATGAAGATAGCTATGTGACTGAGAAGTAGGAAAACTCTTTTAGGGTCCATGGAATAACAGAAAAAGAGACAGCAGAATAATTTTACTCAATTCAATGGCATTTTCGTTGTGAAGTTTACAGTATAAAACAAGCTGGTGGAGACTTACTTATGTTTTTTAAATTAAGGGTGATTAGAGCTTTTTAGAAAAAACAATTTAGTCACAAAAGCTGGTCTCTGAAATTTGATGTTGTTTTCAGTGAGTTTTATTTACAAAAGGGATGCCATGTAAGGGAGTGGGAATGGCTTGGCACAGAGCCGTGCCAAGTGGGAAACAATGCAAAATTATAATTTTCTAAAGGTATAAATGATTTTAAGGTCAAATGATCTATTTTAGGTTTTATTTGAATAAACACTTAATGTGTGGACACTTATTTCAATTTAATTATCTTTATGGCTACAAATAGGAATGAATTGAACTGGGGAGAAAGTATTTTTCAGATTTCTTGTATTCAACATTTCCCACTAAATAACTGTGTATGGATAAGCCTTTTTTGTGTGTTGCATAGTTAGAAATGGAAAGTTCAGTGAGTTTCCACACTGAAAAAGAAATGTGGATTACTTTAAAAAATTCAAGGAATATTTAGTCTGGGTTTTGGGGGTATTTTTTTACATTTGTGGTAATACTGTGGATTTAGCCTCGGTTTTCTGGCACTAACCTTTTCTTCTTACTAATGATATTTAAAATTATAGACTTGTCCTTCTTGATTAAAAGGGAGTTCTTTTTGTAAAGTACATATATTTATTAAAGTAAAAAAATGAAAGGAATTCTTTTTTTATACATAACAATGTTTTTGTTTTAAGATTGAAATTAAAAATAGCTGAAATAATCTCTATTTTTGTTCAAATAATTTCAAGTGTTTTTCTTTTTTAAAAAAATTTTATTTATTTTTAGAGTGGGGAAGAGAGAGGGAGAGAAACATCAACGTGTGGTTGCCTCTCATGCACCCCACACTGGGGATCTGGCCCACAACCCAGGCATGTGCCCTAGGCTGGAAATCGAACTGGCAACCCTTTGGTTCTCAGGCCAGCACTCAATCCACTGAGCCACACCAGCCAGGGTTCAAGTGTTTTTCTTTAATTTTTTAAGTAAGTGTAGTGACTTTCCAGTCCATATTTTCTAATGCTGAAAAGATAGACTCTAGTCATTATTTGTCTGCTCGTTTCATGCAACCGTGCAGTACAGGTACATACATACTTATGGTACCTGTTGTGGTATTGTTCATAGAACTCTTGTGTCAGAATGAACATAGAAAGATAACCCTGTAAGGTTTCTTCAGGGAAAACATGTAAGGATTCATTTGTTTTTTTTTAATTGTGTATTTTTAAAGTTATATGAAGAATAGGTATCTCTTAAATCCATAGCTTTACTCAGTGTTATTTATACACATGTACCTCCACATGCATTTTAAGCTCAATCATTATTTTAATATGTTCATAACTAAATATTGAAAATTATATTCTTTGGAAGGGCATGTGTAATACATTAAAAATAACAACTTGAAAATGAAAGTATAATTTCAAATATCTAATTCACTTTAAAAACTGAAAACAGCGCATTGGTTTTCATTTTTATTGAGCTGTAGTGCACATGCAGCATGTTTGTTCTGGGTGAACAGCATCATCGTTTGATATTTGCGTAGACTGTATGGTGACCGCCATGATCACTCGAGTTAACCTCCAGGGTTCTGTATAGTTACAGATGTGTTTTTCCTGTAATGAGAACTTCTAAGTCTATTCTCTTAGCAGCTGTATAATCCTTTGCATTCATTTTTAAAAATGAGTTTGTTAACTATGTTTTGACTATCTTAATAAAGTTCACATCATCTGGAGGTATGTGGGAATCCATCTACCTTGAGAAATACAGTGAGGTTTATCTGGTCATTCAGCAACATTTCATTTATTGGATTCAAGAAAGTCATGCTTACTCTTCAAATAGAGATGCCAGCCTTCTCCCCACCCCCCAACTAAAAGGACATTTAGCTTGCTTCCAATTTTGGTGACTATGAATAAAACCATTACAAACATTTATATGCAGGTTTTCGTATGGACTTAATTTTTAGTTCATTTTGGTCAATGCCCAGGAGTGTGATCCCTGGGTTATATGGTAATAGTATGTTTAGTTTTGTAAAAAAACAAACAAACAAACAAAAAAAAGCCAAATTGTCTTCCAAAGTGGCTCTTCCATTTTGTGCTCCCACTGGTAAAAGAATGAGAGTTTCTATTGCTCCATATCCTTGCCAGCATTTGAAGTTGTCACTGATTCAGAGTTTGGCCATTAAGTATGGTGTTAGTTGTAGGTGCTTTGCAGATTTTTTTTTATCAGCTGGAGGAAGGTCCCCTCTAGCCCTAGTTTGCTGAGAGTTTGTATCAAGAATGCCTTTTCTGCATCTGTTGATATGATCATACGATTTTTCTTCTTTAGCCTATTGATGTAATGGATTACATTAATTGATGTTCAAATGTTGAACCAGCTTTTCATACCCGGAATGAATCCCACTTGGTCATAATGTATAATTTTTCTTGTACATTATTGGATTTAGTTTTGCTATTGTATTAAGGATATTCACATCTATGTTCATAAGATATATTGGTCTATAGTTTCCATTTCTTGTAATGTCTTTTTCTGGTTTTGGTTTTAGGTTAATACTGACTGCATAGACTAAGTTAGGAAATGTTTCCTCTGCATTTGTTTTCTGAAATATATTGTAGAATATTAGTATTATTCATTCCCTAAATATTTGGTAGAAATCACTAATGAACCCATCTAGGTAGGTCTAATCCTTTAGGTTTTAGAAAGTTAATTATTCATTAATTAATTACAATATTCCTTTATTAGCATTTTAATGCCTTTGAGATTGCCAGTGATGGCCATTCTTTCAATTTCAATATTAATATTTATGTCTTTTTGTACTGGTTAGCCTAGGTACAGGTTTATCAATTTTATTGATCTTGTAAAAGAGCCAACTTTTATGTTGATATTTATCTATTGTTTTTATCTTCTTAACTTTTATTGAATTTTCTGCTTTTTATTATTTCTTCTGATTACTTTTCATTTAATTTGCTCTTTTTCTAGTTTTTTAAGGCTTAAATTTTGGAGTATTGATTTTAATTTTTGTTCTAATATGCACAGTCAGTGCTGTCATGTGTCATCTAGGCACCGCTTATGTTGCATCCCACATAATTTGATAGGTAACTTTTTCATTTCTATGTATTTTTAAATAGTTTTATTTTCATTATCATTAAAATTTGCCCTTTTAAAGAGGCATATACTTATAAGCATTTTACTGGAAAAAATTACAGAAATTTGATGTTGTATGGTATGTATCATTTGTGAAAATATCCCAGTTATTCATATCCTCCCAATTAAATGGCTTTCTGTT